TTCCATTTCGCTCCCAAATTTCCCCAATTCCCCCAAAAATTTTCTCTAGAAAGCAAAACAACTTTTTTCTTCCCCAAGATCTTAAAGATTTGATTAATAAGAAGACATATACGAAGATCAAAATTATTTTATCTTCAAATGGGTTTTGATGATTCATGCAACACAGGTCTTGTTCTTGGTTTAGGCCTCTCACCAGCGTCTAATAATTACAACCATGCCATCAAGAAAGCTTCCGCAACCGTGGACCACCGTCTCATCAGGCTCGATCCGTCGTTGACTCTAAGCCTATCCGGTGAGAGCTACAAGACCAAAACTCTTGCCGGCGCCGGAGATCAGATTTGCCGGCAGACTTCGTCTCACAGCGGAATCTCATCTTTCTCGAGCGGAAGGGTGAAGAGAGAAAGAGATGTCTGCGGTGGTGGCGACGGCGAAGAAGAGGCGGAGGAGACGACGGAGAGAGTAGTGTGCTCGAGAGTGAGTGATGATCACGAAGATGAAGAAGGTGTTAGTGCTCGTAAAAAGCTTAGACTCACTAAAGAACAATCTGCTCTTCTTGAAGATAGCTTCAAAATCCATAGCACCCTTAATCCTGTAAGATATATACTTAATTACTCCTTAATTATTTTCTTATTATGTATCCTTATACAAGTTTCTATGAAATTCTTACAGAAGCAAAAACAAGCTCTTGCGAGACAGCTCAATCTAAGGCCTAGACAAGTTGAAGTGTGGTTCCAAAACAGGAGAGCTAGGTATAAATTTAATTAATTAATTTAGGAAATTTTATTTCTATATTTTAAGGTTTTTAGTAATTAATTTGTTATGATTGAATTTGAATTTGGACAGGACAAAACTAAAGCAAACAGAAGTAGATTGTGAGTTTTTGAAGAAATGTTGCGAGACTCTAACGGATGAGAATAGAAGGCTACAAAAGGAGCTTCAAGATCTCAAGGCTTTGAAACTGTCTCAACCGTTTTACATGCATATGCCGGCGGCAACTTTGACGATGTGCCCTTCTTGTGAGACACTCGGCGGAGGCGGCGGCGGTGGTGGAGGTGCCGGAGGAGGTACGGCAGCCGTTGTTGATGGAGAAACGGCGAAAGGAGCTTTCTCCATCGTCACAAAGCCTCGTTTCTTTAACCCTTTCACTAATCCTTCTGCAGCTTGTTAGTTACTTATTAATTATTATTTTTTTCTATTTCTTTTGGTTTCTTAAATCAAAATTAGGAATTAGTTAGAAGGTTAAAATCCCAGGGGAAAAATATATTACGTTGAAATTGGGGGAAAATGGGGTTATAGTCTTTATATATATAAAGTCTCTTCAACGATTCCACTTTATTTTTCGGTGGGATTGTTGGTTGATGAAGACAAAAATATAGTTTGTAATTATAAGTTTTAAATTTGTAGATGAAAAATGAAGAAGATAATGGGACTTACTAATCCATCTTCTTTTGTTTTTTTTTTTTTTTTTTTTCTTTTTTCTCTGCAAATATGTATTATGGTAGTATAATTTTGCTTTGTAAAAAAACAAAAATATATTTAATAATTTTCATCTACAATGATATATATTACGTCTCCTTAACAAATGATTGTTCATTCATGAGAATATAATACTATTGATATATAACATTTATATCGGGAAATATTTTTTTTTTTGAACAAATATCGGGAAATAATTAAATATGGGTCTTTTTCAGAAGAAAATAATACATAATATAATTCAATATGGTTTCTAATTTCAGTTCACACTTTACAACGACGTAAACAACTAAACACTTGTTCCTGATTTAAAGATTTGTTAAATGTTTGTATATTGATTTCTTTCAACAAACAGGACGATTTGTGTATATATTTGTAACAGTATCAACTAAGATTCTATAACTTCAGAGTTTAGCTAAACTCCATTACTGATCGTTTACACTGGTGCCAACTTGGTTTTGTTTTCAACCGTTGAACCCAAATATGGAAATATAATTGACTGAAATTCATTTCCCACCAGTATAGAAAAAAAAGTGTATAACAAGATAAATACACAGATGAAGATTTTTAAAAACTTTACGAAGGTGAAGGGATCATCCGGTAAGCCAAACGATTTTCATATGAAATCGACTCTGAAATAAACCCAAAAAAAAAAATCGCATTTATTAAATTTTGGCTCCAGGTATAAAGATTTAATGTTATTATTATTATCCAACAGAAAACTGAAAAAAAAAAAACATTTGATGGGTGTGAATGATTTTAAGTGAGAGAGATAAAGGGTGTGGGGTTAAGAGGTTAGCTCACGTGTATTGCTACATCTCCTTAAACCATTTAAATTTTATCCAAAATAATATTATAATTAATTTATAAAAAATTCAAAAAACTTATAGTATAACAAAGACAAATTAGAAAAGCCAAATACATGCAAAAACGCGTTCAGATTACGTAGTCAAATATAATCCATACATGAATAACAAGGATGCATGAAAAAAAAAACCAAAAAAAACATCATCATCGAGTTACAAAGCTTCATCGCAAAGAAAAGAATTGTATTTAATAGATATATAGATACGTTTTTGTGGGAAATAACATGGAAAATAAAAATAAAATGTTGGTGAAGATTTGAAGCAGTGGGATGCTCTATCTTTAAGGGGTAAGGTGGGACATGCTTCACGTGATTTTTCTTCTTCGATCGATCACGACCATATTATGGGATTTCAAATAAATTAGTATGACTCTTCATGAATCATGTTATACCTATATTTACTATACACGTATATTCAGTGTTTTAAATGAATACATGACAACGAGACGTATTTATTAAAACATACTTCTATGAAAACGACACAGAGAGAAAAAATAATTCATAAAGTTAAATTACGTGATTCACGAACACACACACATAGTTAAGGCGTACATATTCATGAATCTTGCAATTTTAACACGTACATGCACAAACATATGGAGTATAATTTAATTTTTAAATAAATGTTTCTTTACTAAGATATCTTTACTCGAATCGTTTAAACTAAGTTCCATTATACTTAACTTCCATATATAGTGCATTTAATATCTAGAAGCAGGTGTATTGATCGTGACTAAACATTTAATATAAATCATTGAATTTTTCTAGGTCATGTTAACTGTTAAAAGGACGTCGAAGTCTCGAATATATATATTGGCGTTTAGAGATTCATGATGATCCCAACAAGTAATATGTATATATGCATGTTTTCATCTAAACTAATATTAATTTGTAAAAAAAAAAATAGAGCAAAATGTTCGTATAAGAATGCAAAAATGCATGCGTAATGATAGATTGGGATGAGATGACGAGAGAGAAGGAGAGAGAGAGTCCACAAGGAAAATCATAAGATCGGTGACCCTGAAATTATGGTTGTGGACCATTTAATGATGAGATGACTTTCCGGGGAAATCGGTGACTTTCTCGTTAACTCACTCTCTCATTTCTAATTTCACGGAATCATTCTCTTTTCTAATGTCCCCTTTTACTTTATTTCTTTCTTTAAATTTTGAGTGTAGTGTAATTTTTTTTATACTGCATGTGTACTTGTATGTATTCGTCTACAGTTTTGTTACATGCATAATGGATTAGCAAAAGATTGTGTGATTTTGCTAGTACAAGCATTTGACGAATTAGGTTTGTGAGAACAGAAGATATAATATTACGCAGGCAAGATTACGATGAGACGTACTAAAATCAGGCCGCACAATCGATTATAAAATAATTAAATGCATATTAATTATGAATTTGGGTGTATATTAAGATTGGTATTCCATATCATTATGAATTATTTTAATGATGTAGGTGACTAATTATTTGAGGTTGTTTCTTTTAATGATTGATAGATTTGCTTTACGTGTGCACGAACGTAATTAACTAGTGTATTCGAGAACAGCAATAGACATGTGTCAATTGCTGGTTAAATTGTCGGTCTGTCGAGTTCTTGTTCCCGACTTTTCATTATTAATCACTAAGCATGAATTTGGTAGAACAATCCAAAAACAAATGATTCTTTTTTCTTTCTTTCCTCAATGTTAATTCGGTTCCTAAATTTGATATTAAAAGAAATTAACATAACAACTCTCGTGTCATCGCTAATCTTTATACGCGTTGTCCTACCAATATCAATATAATAGTATACATACCGCATTGCTTTTGTAATTTACTGTAAAGTCTCTAATCAATTACTTAATTTGGTTTTAGTCTACGATCTAGTAGTATATGTAACTAGTGGTGGCCTTCTGCAATTGTACATGTAGTTATTTTAATCGGTTCAAAACTGCTTAGTCATATGCAATATCATTTGAGTGCAATAAAATTATATTCTATATATACGATATATTAACCAATTAAAAGGGAACTTAACACACCTAGATTATATAAAGTTAATAAGAGGCTTAAAGGTTTTAAGCTAATCAACATTGGTTGCTCAACACGTCTCAAGACGCACCATTGTGCCTGTTACTTATATAAAGGGTTGGTAGATAACTTTGAATATATATTTTAGTTAGCTCTCTTATTATTTCCCGAAATCCAACTCATTAAAAATTAGCATGACTTTTATGTAATTTTAAAGGGGTAAAAGGAAATATATAAATCATGAATTTATTTTTAGGTCACGTATTTTTTTTTATGGCCTTCGTCATCTGAGATATAGTCACGACGGTAGGTATACCTTGTTTGGAGTTTTGTGCTAGATATAGTGATTTATATGTTCTTTTATTTATCTATCAATATAACCAAAAGTCTTATCAAGAAATTATAACAACAAAGAGGTGCTAAGTCTTTTTGAACAAAGAGGAGCTATAGTCTAAGAGTGTATATGTATATATGTATTGTAGTGTTATTGTCGACGAATTGGTTCTAAATTTTTCAATAATAGAGGAAGAAAAATGTGACTATTGAATAAATGGAACATAGCAGGATTACTAGATGCGGCTCATATACATAGACTGTGTGGAAACATATGTATGTAGTATCTTCAGTTAAGAAAAGCAAGATATAAAAATGGAAGTGTATGCCCATTTTTCTTCACTTGTCATGTCCCATAATAAAGAACTTTGAACCCCTTTCTAGTAAATTGATTGATGCATATAATATGGAGAACCATGTGATTTTGCTCCCTCTCCTCCGGACTTTTTGTCAATTATATACACGTTCTGTAGCTCTTTGTTGTTTTCTTTTTACAATATTTACATTAAATTTTGGTATTACATATATATATCTCCAAATAACTTAAATGAGTTCCATTTTGAAAGATTGTGTGACAAAAATAACTTAATTATGAAAGATTGCATTAAGATGAGATGATTGTCTCAATGTGACAAAATCTCCAAATAACACGCGGGTCTCATGACTCATGAGTATACATTGCTCTAGTAGTGTATAGTCATGGTCAAAGCAATTTTATTTTTTGCTTTAGTAATCTAATTGACACGTGGAACATTCTCCTTTTTAGTCCAAGACACATGTGGATGTTCCTCTAATAATCACATCTTTATCATAGAATACTGTCTTTTCACATGCATGGTACATACTTACATAAGTTAGAAGATACGTCTAAATTTTAACTAACGAAACTTGAAGTACAAAACAGTTTATATGTTGATTAATTTATATAAAAATCCTTTTCCAACACAAAAGCATTTGATGTATACCACAAAATCTTAAAAATTGATAACGAAATGGATTATCGGTGTTGTTGATCTATAATCGAAAGTTTGTTAGCTAGATGTAGCTGATCACGATGTTATAAGGACTGAATTAGGATAACTTTTTTTTTTTTTTTAACATAAATTGTGATTTTCTTTTTGAAGTATAAGAAGGTCCAATAATACGTGTGTGTTAGCGTGACAATTTAAAACATAAGCAAATTATTTATTTCATATTTTAATGATCAAACGAGAGTTTCTTTAATATATTACTTTTTTAGATAGATAATTTCAGGAAAATGAGAAAAATCCGAAAAAAAGAAGAAGAAAAGATTAAAAATTAGAGACTCTGAAGAAAAAGGTTTTTGCAAATAAATTTTTTTTGTTCGACTTTAAATACAGTAATGAGCTGTTGCAATATAGTTTGTGTTACATCAAATTACATCATCACTTTTGAATTTCCTTATCGCTATTTACTAAAGAAAAATACTATATTTTTGGTTAAATTACAAAACATTTAATAAAAGATGGAAACAGCCAAACAACAGGTCAATATGGAAGTTTCAAGTTGTATTATAAGAAAGAAAATAAAAAAGCATTTAATTAGCTTTTTAGTCATGACTCATCAATTCGTTCCCAGAAAGTTACAAATTTGGACCATTCCAATTATCTCTAATGGACCCTCGTAATCTTTTTTTTTGTATTCTTTTTATCATATTTGCTGATTTATCCAATTTCTTTTAAATCAGATCAAACCCTGTTTTGTAGCCACTCATTGAATCCCATGCTGGACCTCTCACCACCATGTTCATAAAAACCTTTAATCACACCATCATCTTCATCATCTTTTGCCGTCTTCATCATTGGCTTTGCCTATCCTTGCCATCAATATCAGCAAAATACTAATTTAG